AATGCGTTTTCACTCTTTAATGCTTTCTATATCATGTCAGTTCTAACGATATCTTTCCATCTTGTTGAAAGTCTTCCTGGACACTGCCTGCAATCAGACTGCATTCAGTACCTGCTCGTAAGGCAGCTATCGTCCATTCGTTGGCAATGTCTCCGCCATGTTAAACGCCTTATTTGCAGCCAGTCGGTCACTTTAGTTGTACATTCTAACCTGTCTATCACAACAGCACTAGACATCAGGTCGTATGTATCACTTCACTTCTAATATTGATCACTAAATCCTCATTCCGTCGATTCCAGTTTTTTGTTTTCACTTTTGTTAAGCGCTGTTATCTTCAAGCCATAGAAAAAGATATTTAGAATGCAAGCCCCGTATATCCGTAGCTCTGCCCTACCGCCAACATCTTTGTCCTTCAAGAGTTTGAACAACCTGTTTGTCGCCGATACTGCCAACGTACATAACCTCTTAACTTCATCTGCCACTCGCCCGTCAGCAGCCAATATACATATGTGCTTGTACCTTCTGCACAACTTCGGGGTCAAGGGTCAAACAGTCTTTGGTCTGGGTTCTACCAGCTTTAGTCCACGTCATCTCCATTACGTTAATCAAGAGACTTAGATCAGGACAATTCTGTTTCAGAGTCACGAACAATGTCACAGCTTCGAAGCTGTTTCCAAACAACACAAGAATATCTGTAAACGACTCGCGGAAGCATCCAATCAAGAAACAACGCAAACAGCAGCGAAACTTATTTTTCCTCGACTTACTCCAAAATTCATACAAAAGAATTTGCGAAACTTGTTATCAATTGCCACAGCATTTGATGGAAGGTCATTCTTTTTTTTAATTATACTCATTGTTATTGGTGAAATTCCATATTGCTCACCAACTTTCGCTAAGACATCTCTCTATCTCTTGAGTAAAACGCTTTGAAGAATTCGACAAACATTGCAAAGAATTTGGATTTCCCTTTTCTCTTCCATTCATTAGTTCTCTTTGTAAATACCTGGTCCAGACATGCTCAACCTGTCCTGAATCCAGACTGCTCGTCACCAAACATGCCCTCAAAAGGTTGTGTAATCATAAGAGACACGAACACTTTAGCAAGAACGGACGATAAGCTCATTCACCTGTAGTTATTTGGATCCGAACAACAACCATTTTTAAATATTGGGACAACAGCATCATTCGTCTAGTCATTCAGAATCTCCTCTTTTTGCCATACTAATCCAAAGATATTCACTAATGCCAGCAATACTTTTATTCCAGACTCCTTAATAGCTGTGGCTTTTTCATCATTTCCCGCAGTTCCGCCATTTTTCAGATGACCAAAGCCTTCAGCCACTTCTTCAAGTATCGATGGTCCAGCATCAGCATCCATCTAGGTATATCATATAATGAATCTTAGTTTATAGTCAAATCTAGATTTAGTTGTGACTTCAAGTGTTTTCCCCATATCGCGCAGACTTCTGTAGTATCAGACGTTGTGTTACCGTCCTATTTCATATAGGATATTAATCAAGGATTCCTTTTTTCGAAGTAGTAATGGACTTTCCTAAACAAGGTCTTCATTAATCTTTTCCGAGCTACAGCTTCCACTATTTCAGTCTACCACTTTTAGAAAAGTGTTTCATCTTTCATTAATAAATTATCAAATTTCTTTCTGTATTTCACTTCTAAAACTGTCTGGTTAATCTCTGAAAGCCTACTCTTTTCTTGCAACCGTTCAGTTTTCAAACTTATCCATGGCTTCTTGGACATTGCTTCCCTCCCAACTGCTCTCTTGTCGTTTTTATTACTGCTTCTTTGTACATGTTCAAAGAATTTTTCTACCGATATATCGCTTGTATAATCAAAGGAAATCTTGAACCTTTCACCAACCGTGAACTTATACGTTTTAGATACTTCTGGACATTTCAGCTTGTCGATCTCAAAATATGTGATAGAAGTCAAGGCCGATAATGGAAGATCGGAGTTTGATTTTAACCTTAGCCATCACAAGCTCGTGGTTCCTGCCGCATTCAACACAACTGCACACCATTGCGCCTTCCAGGCATGTTCGATAACTGCTGATGATGAGAACGTAGTCAGTCTGACGTCTCGTTGCTGTTGCCGTGGCTGTTTCGTGGGAAAGCCAGGTTAACTTGTGCACTTATTTGTGATAAACCATGTGACGCCAACAAATGAACCGAGCATTTCACAGTTCTGCTAGTCGCAAACATTCATTTCATAAATATCGCACGATCCCAAGCATCTATGTAGTTCATTCTGTGCCCACTTTCGCAATGAAAGCACATATAACAACCAAGATATTATGGACTCGACACTGTTGCAGTGACAAACTCAGCGCGACATAAATTTCCTCATTTACTGCCTCTACCGCAGATTCAATAAGGGCATAACAACCAACCACCGCTAGCCCAAGTCATCTGTGACTGGACCTGAACCTCACTACAATGATTCGGTCAGATACAAACTTCCAGTGTAAGAGGATTTCTGCATCAACGCCATCTACGTGAGCGCACCTTCTATTGTATTCCCTACGCAACTGAAGCTATACTTTCCAGCGGTCACAGCGCATGATCCAAGCAAGTGCGTCTCATGTATTGCAGCTACCTGTAGCAGTTATATAGATGAGTTATCCTGCAACCAGTGAAGTCTGTCTAGGTCTGCTTAACGTCCACACGTTCCACACGACAAACTGCGTTCGACACAGAGCACTGAAAGGGATTCTTCTTCGCTCTCCTGCTTTTCGAGATCCATCCTGTAATCAAAAATAAATCCGCTGAGTGAATGATTAGACAGAAACAGTTCACCAGAGCTTTGTTAGCCATGCATTTGAGGGTTCATGACAGATCTTCTATGCAACCTTAGAGGACGGAGAAAACGCAGGCAAAGCATTCCCCTGCGTCGGACATTGAATTGTCATCACGATTCTGATGAGAGGCTGAACTTTGAGGGATAATGTGAATAGCATAGAAGAAATCTAGTGTTCCGAACAGAGATTCAGTACGCCTCAGTTCACATGGCATACACAAAAACTCAATATGTATCGCAATTTACTGAAAGAAAAGTTTTGACTTTGACAACTTCGACAGCACAGAGTCGCAAAACAGAGACGAAACTTCGGTTAAAAACTGTAGCCACTGATCGTATCATCGTCATGGTGTCGTGGCTCGAAAAGGAGTGCAGCAAGTTTAGAAGTCAGAAACAAAAAATGATTTGCCTCTCCGACGATTGTAGACTGCAACTCCAAGCAAGCTGGCAATTTAAAGTATCAGACAAAATTATAAGTCAAATCGAAGGACACAGCAGTGCAGCGATTAAGAAATCCACTGACTACAGAAAATATCTATCTGATATAATGACGAAAACGAGGTCGTGATTAGGTATGTGGTGCCCCTTTTACCCACTTCGTTTTTACTTACGTAAGCGGGCGTGAGAGAAGGATGAAAAATGATAACACTAACCAACGATTAGCCATTGAAATAAGCGGAATTTCACAGCTGATTGGCACTCAGCGGAACAATGTAACATAGGACAATAAGAGAAACGATAGGTTTACCAGTAATAGCCAACTGCGCGTGGAGAATTCGAGGAATGCCCTTGTTTCTGTTTCATTTAAACCAAATTATGTTGGCTATATCTGGATGATGCATTCTTAATAGTCACAGGAACAAATAAACGAGTTACTAAACCATTTGAAAAGTAAGAGAAATGATCCACAGTGAAGAAAGAACAAACGGCCTCCTGACAGTGTTTTTTAGAAACATGCGAGAAGCAACTTTCCGCATTACCCGACGTAACCAATTTTGTAATTCTCTACGAAAACAACAGTGTAAACCAACTTTAGCTGGTTTTAAACCTAAATTCAAAATAATCTGCAATGGAGAAGAAAGGAAATAATGTATTCACCATATTGAACCGTCAGTCGCATGGATAATCATATACCTGAAACTTCGTTGCATTGCAACGAACTCACTCCATTCACCATCTATAATATGAACCTAACCATATTCTGGCAAGAAAACCAAGATTAGGCAAATGCCTCAGGGACTACGCCAACATATGCGTTCTAAGAGTACTTCTCCAACTAAAAGACGGCATTTGAAGATGTATCAAAACGAAATGGAAATCTAACGCCGCTAAGAGTAACTTCGTCAAAACTGAAATAAAAAAACTGTTAAGCACGGCAAAAACGATCGCCATCGTTTACACACCGCACGCCTAACGTCCCTACACTAATAAAATTCTAGAATCAGCGAGCGTGCATGCTCCCTTCAGATCAGAGGTCAAAGAATAATCTCATTTCATGACGGTTGGAGATCGAATTTTATCTGAAGACCGAATATATTTGCGACATGATTATCAGTGAGCTTTGATGCTAGGTATGCATAAAAACTGCTGTATTTACAATAGCGAAACGAAGTTCTTTCGAAAGTAAATAATTTTGACTGCATAAGCGGAGGCAAAAAACTAACAGAGGCAGCGTTTTAGAAAACACTGACATTGTATATTATCAAAGTCACACTCAGAGCATTAAGAGAAATCCATTTTGGGAGCTAGGCTTCTAATTTCGACTTAATAACAGCCGTTCACATGAATTTTAATGCACTAACAGCTGCTGCACCGTTTGAATTACAGAATTACAAGCTTTCACTGACATATGTAATTAACGAATTTAAGCACCATTTTACAAATTCGACCATCAAAAATGTTACAATTCTTCAGCAAGGTCTGTTGCCAAAACAAATCCTTTTTATCAATATAAGCATCTCATGCAAAAAGAAATAGCGGTAACTAATTTTGCTACCTGAATAATAATTCTTTTTCAAATAGGCTAGAAAATAAAACTAAGCTC